TGTTTTGGAGTTTTGAATTAATAAGTTATTTATTCAAAAGTTATTTATCCAAAACACGTTTATTTTTAAGGACTGCATTTAACTTCGAACAAGATCCGGATCCGAACAAGATCCGGATATCCGGATTTTCACTTAAATCGACTATTTTATCTCGGATCTATCTCTATTTCGGATATCCGGATACCCGGATATTTATTTATCCGGACATGATCGTCAGCCCTAGATTTAATAGGGGTCTTTTCAGTCTCGCACACATGCGAGGATATATAAAAAAGAATAACCCACCCGAATTTTGACAATTGAAAGAAATCAAATTATTTTCTACATCACCTTACTTACATACTCTATCAGAGTGGTCAATATTGACCACTTACCCCGTCGTATTCAGTTTTCCCTCGTCGGACCAGATTGGACATACCTTTCGATGCTCCTGGCCATACAGTCTGGTCATTTTGACCAAAGATCAGGAAGGAAGAAAACTCCTTCCATAATCGGTTTGTTATCGTCACCGACAGATATTACGTATGATTTGAATTATATGCGAGCGTATCGTATCAATCGTATCGAAAAAGTACAGGACGAGAAGTTAATTAAGAATTTTAATTCGAAAAAATTTACTGCATAAAACTAATTTAATATATTTCTACTCCCATTATTTACTCACGAGTATCGACTGTCTCTTCGTGACTCGATCTTTGAATTCAAAATTCAAGTCTATACACGGAAAACATTTTACTTCGCGTTATATTAATTTTGATTATCTTCCGCGATAAATTAATATTTCTAATATGGATGAAATTACAAGGTACTAATATTTTGGAAATGTTTTTATAAACCGATCGCGAAACTCAAACGCGAAAACCGATCGCGGATGTATGAAGATGCGTATGATTTGCATGTTTTTCATGCGACACGCATCTTGAAGGTGTATCGCGACATACATATACAAAATAAATGACGTGAGATCCAGACTTAAAGAACCTTTCTGCACGACAAATACTGATATTGTAATTGCATATTATAGGTAAACAATAACTACCAATAATGTATAATAATAATTTGAAATGTTTAAGCGTTCTTGACAAAATATTTAAAATCTCACGTCATCTTTTACTTTACATATCAATATGTTGATAAAAAACGGATAGGTCACATTAGTCCGACAAATACGTCAATAAATCAGTCAGATTAATTATATCAAATAGAATATAAAATTATGTTGTAATCTATCCGTTTTCTGGTAACGAATCTACGGAATAAATCTATTATCTACGTTCTACGATCTACGAAATGTAGATTCGTTACCTTAGTAAAAAAAACTTGGCACTCACCGACCGATGCGCAGCAGCGGAGTTAGCAATGTTGATGATTCTGCAACATAGAAATGTAGAATTCATATTAAAGTAGTGTTAAAAAAATCTGAATCTTTTCTATGAAACAATATTTGACGAACGTTCGTGCGAATCGTTCGAACGGTCGAGTCGAACAGACGGAAAGGCGAATAAAAGCAATCCACGGAATGAAGTTTACGCTAAGAACAATACATAAATAATTGTACTCACCAGAGGGTTGCTCCGCCGTTGCCCGATGCCTCCCAGGCCGCCGCTTCCTCTCAGATTCCTCGCAGATTTGGCACTGGCAATCGGCACAACGCGGCACTCGCGACACGGCACTCCCGGTGTTAACCGACATGAGCTCTGTTACAACGAGAACAAGAAAAAGAGACGATCGTATACGGAAACACGAGCCGCCACGATGGCGTTGCGTGAAACGGCGGGAACGTTCCGGCGAAGACTCGGAGATACGCGAGGCTTGACGCGTCTCGCAACCGAACGCGAGCGTTCAACGGGGCGATCTCGCGCCAACATTTCACTCGCTGCGTGTTACGCGTGGAAACTCGGGTATTTCTACACGCGCGAAGAGATGCGAATTAAAGTTGGAGCTTGGTATACCCACGGCGTCGCGAGGATCCGGCTGCGCCATAGATTCCAGCCGAGGTTACTCGCGAGATTCACGCATGGATCGCAGACACAGAAGTATCGAATACCACTCTGCGATTGCTCAACTTGATCCGCGTTACTCACCACCGTCGTGAAAAGCGTCGCGACGACCGACGGCGCGGGAGACCGGTCCGCTGCGTGTCCGCGGCACTTCGCGATGCTTCTCGAATGGACCAATGACGCCAGTACCCGGCGGCCCCGGCGCTACTGTGCGGTACTACACGAGTTGAGTCAGCGACGCGACTAGAGTTATCCACTTTAATATCACTCGCGCACTGTATCATAAATAAACGCGTAAATTCGCCTCTTTTTTATTGACGAACAATCGACACACTTGCGGCTTTCCTCTACTCAAGATCTATTGGAGGAATAACGAGCGCGAACGGTACACGGCGATTCGACGTTCCGCCTCCCGTATCTTTAAGTGCACGCTCGCGTGGCCGTGGCGTCGATTAATTGCGCGGAGAATGATCGCGCACGTCACCCCGTGCCGCACGCACCGGCGGCTTGAACGATACTACGGCGCACGGATTCCGTGCCACGGAACGTTCTGTGACCTCGGCGCGTAGCGGTCGCGGCGGCTCGAGACAAACAAAGTGACGATTGCTGCGGCGCGGCGGCTCGAGACAAACAAGCGGTGAGCCGCGGCGCAGTCAGATATATAATAAATAATGTACGCCAGTTCATATACGTCTTTCCTGGATACGATCCTGAAAAGGGCTCAGGCACTTTTAGCCGTTAAGCGGCCTTTTCATTGACGCTACGATTTAGCGTCAAATATAGTCACGTGACTAAATTTACCGCTCGCCTAGGGAAGGAGAAGTAGCTCCAAAATATGAGCGTCGTGAAACCACCGCTGGCTGCGTTCAAAAACACCACCCGAGCACAAAAGAGTATCATTTTATCCTTGTTTAACATACGGTGAGCAACAAGGATAGAATAATACTGGGGTACTCAAGTGGTGTTTCTGAACGCAGCCTTTGTCACACCATGGCACACTGAAAAAGTTGAGACGGTCTCAACTTTTTCCCCCCACTACGTCGAGAAGTCACTCGACCTCATTTGACGCTGGTTTCTAGCGTCAATGAAATTGCAAATTTATACTGGTTATACTGTAGTCACAGTATAACCAGTAGTTGCACCCTCTGTCGGCACCTTTGATCTGACGACGCCTTGTAGTTTTTAAGTCGATAGAGTGTCATTCGTGACGACGCTGCAGCGCGACTTTCAGTAGGCGCGTAA